CAGTAGGAGTCCATTCTTTCCACTTAGGAAAGTGGAAAGGTCACTTAGGAAAGGTCACAAAAGGAGTTTGGGGTTTTTGGTTCAGTTTCTTACCCCAACTCTGTCTCTGTAGAGTTTAGTTGTGCTCTCTCTGCTGCTGGCTCTCTCTCGGCTCTCTCAGACAACTCTCTGTCTTTCTTGGCTACATGTTTGTTGCTGCTTCTTCAATTATCTCTTGGCTCCTAGCCACAATCTCTGGACGCTGCTGTTGCTCTGTCTCTGCTCACTCACGGTGGAGAAAACTTCTTTAGTTTTCAGTCACAGATACTTAGCCCAGTCTAACACTGTTCCAAGTCCCTGCCGCCCCTCCAGCCGGGGTTGGGGGGCCAGAGCCCCCCAGGGGGCTCCTGCCCTCACTCCTCATGGTCTTACAACATGGCTACTTCTTCTACAACTACAACTTTCTCTTCCGTTCTGCTTGTGATATGTTTATGTTTTGCAGAAGCGCTCATTGGGTAAAACCTCAAAACTTCAAGGGTCACCACCCCCTGGGGTTTTACCATTTTATAACTTCAGGGGGGAAAACTGTTTCCCCCACCACAACAGTGTAACAGAAAAACACCTGCTCACAAAGCAGTGATGATATTAAAGCTAGTACTTGGAAATTGATATCTTCTTAATACTATATTTTAATGATTTTTCTCCTTGCCCTAACTTTAACAACTCCTGTCAATCTTTTAAAATATACTGGGCACTATGACTCTATACAAAGTACTATATACATTAAATGAAATAAAAACTTCACGTTTTTAAAACAAACTTTTAACTGTCCTATCCAAGGGAGGTAAGTGGCACTTGAGTAAAAGCATGTTCCTTAATGGGACCCTGAAAACATTCTGAAAGTGATCTGGAAACAGACTCAGAAAACGAGACTGCTGGGGCCCCAAAACTCAGACACAGAGCTCCTCTCCTGTATGTACAATTGTTCCCCAAGCAGCTTTGGGCAAGAGGGATGGCAAAGCAGAGAGGTGTATCCATCCCCACCACTACAGACAAGAACTTGAGTGGCTCAAGTGACCCATTTTCTGCCCGACTCTAGAGACACAATCTAGAGACTTGTGTCGACAACCCCATTAGTAAAAGTTTTCAGCTGGACCTCCCTCAATTAGGTCCTTTGTCAGAGTAAATCACCAAGTAAATGGACCAGGTAGAGTTGCCACATGTGACTTTTGCTTGCTTAGCTTTGGACAAAGGAGAACAGGGATCTGTTGCTTCAGTAATGACAACAGGAAAGCATGTCTTAATCCCCAAATCAGCTCCAATTCGCTTCACGAACGAAGCCCTCCTCGGGGATGTTCACGTGCTATCTTTGTCAGAGAAAAAGTTTTGTCAAGAGCAGTGCCCACAGTTCAACACTCCAGCACGGGGCACACTGCAGGCTGTGGGGGTTATCTCTGCAGACTTTGCAGACACTGTTTAGCAATACGTTACTATCTCACCTCAAACATTTTTTTCCAGAGATTAGTGCCCAACTTGTTACATCAGCTGTGCATCTTTGTTTAGCAATGGCTCAGTCACGTTTGGTTGGTTATGTCTGTTTATGTGCACATACTCACGAACCCCCTACTCACATTCAACATCAACTCCTGCATCTTTCATCCTCTGGAACTTGTCACAAGTTACACCTAGTCATCCTTAGAGGAAACTGCTCATGACATACCTACCCCTCACAGTTTTGAGTTTTTACTGTGAGCTACTTCTGTTTTGAAGGGAAGAGGAAAAATCTGCATGAGCTGGCTAATTTCTTCCTAGTTGTGTCAGGTAATATTTTTTTGTTCATTTAAAATGTATGACATTTGAAGTCACTAAGATAAAAAGCAGACAAATGTGTTAGTATTAAAATAAAGCCTCTTTAGCTAGTATCAAAACCTCCATGTGCTCATAAGTTCATTCTTACAATTCATGAAATGTGTTTGTTTTGCAGGGTTTAACTGTCCAGTCTATTAGGTTTTATGGGTTTACACCTTCATTTGTTTCAGTTAACTGAAACAAAAATCAAACAAATACAAACAAACTACCTTAAGGCAACCTTAAACAGCATGTTTCTGTAACCACAGGGAACAAAATTGCTGAGGTCCCAAAACTCAAAGTTCTCCTGCACGTGCATTCCCCAGACCACTTCAATGGGGCTGGCAAAGCACAGAAGGTACTTTAGCTGGACAACTTACTGTCTGTAGTGGTGCTGGTTAAAGAGGGTAATTTTCAAGGAAGATAAATACAGTGTGCACTGGAGCTCAGCCAGCAATGAATAGACCAAGAGGAAGCAATAACCACTTTATTAATTTACATTTAATACTGCATTAGAAAAACAATTGTTCATTTGCAAGGAGCTCTCTCAATATTCAGTTTTTCCATGCACTCTTGTTCTTCAATCTTCAGTTTTGAGGCTGTATCCCAAACCGCAGTTCTTCATTATGTTTAGCATGTTCTCCTGGATAGCTTCTCTTAAAAGTTCAACAGTAAACAATGGTCAGGGGTATACAGAACCACACCCCAAAAAACAGACCCTTCCCTTTCCCGACAGGAAGTCCACTAGGCCCACTTTCCCCATCTTCACCCTCTCATAGTAAGAATATTGTGAACCATTCTCTGGTGTAAAAGGTTGCATTTAGCTGCATAGTGAAAAGCTGGACTATTCAAAGTGTCACGATGCTGGAAAGTACAAGGTTAATGAAAGCAAAACACACAGGAAATAACCCACTTAGAAATCTGTCCCAGAGCTCAGCAATTGCTGAAGCTCATCTATTACACATGGTTTTCAGGAAACAGCATGGTAGGGCACTGGGTGGAAGTGAGGAGAACAGGATGCTATCCACATGAGGACAGTTCTGAAGCAACTGAACAAAGGTAGATTTCATTAATTTATAGTTCTCCAATACATTGCCAAGCCTATAGTCAGAGCAATAAGGTTATCCATATGTGGTCTGTGCTTTACCAGGGAAACTGGCAACTTGACCAACTCCTCTGTATCCATGAGAGCACTGTACACCAGTGTACTGGTTTGTCTCTCTCATTAATTACTCCCTACCCTTCCTACGCAGAGAAATCAACTTTGACATCTTCTCTCCCTTCACACATTCAATAGTATTATACTCCAGCACTTGACAAAGACAATGGAATTTGCAGCAATAAGTATTTCCAGTTGGCAGTGCAGTAAGAGAAATCAAGTTAAATATTTTAAAATTTAGAGTTTCATAAGGACCTTTTTCTCAGAGATGCTTCCATGTGCCAGTTCAACTACCTCCTGGAAAAGTTATACAATGAAAATCTGTTCTCTAGAAAGTTCCTGGAACACGTCAAAAGACAGATAATTTTAACTCTGGACACTGTTCCTTTAGAAGGGGCTGTCCTCTTCAGGGGAATGATCAGATGACCTTGCAATGGGGAAACCCAGTTTGAGAATTCACATCTCATGTCACTTTCAAACTCAAGGAAACACAGGAAAGCAAATAAAGTCTATGTAGTTAAAGAAAGTCAACCTTTAAATCTTCTAAGGCTTTTTTACTTTTAGTATTTTATCTTTAATTTGTTCAGAGGTTGTATATCCTGGATATTATCTTTTTAGGAGAATTAATTACAAGCTTAACCAAGTAAGGATAGAGGAAGGATAGCACCAGAGTAGTAAATTTTGCTATCTTTTCACTGACCTCAGAAACAAAAAGTTATCCAGAACTGGAATTATTTAGGAAGAATACAAAAGCACACATAACAAAGACAGAATAAGCAAGGCTGTGCAAAAACAAGATATAAGTAACAAGGTTTTATAGGTACATCAAGTATAGAAAACAATTTAAATCAGAAAAAGCCAGTGCCACATTGAAAAAGCTAACTGAACTATACCAAGCACTTAATGGAGCACAATTGGGAATGATAAACATAAGACTAGAGTCACATCAGCTTACTTGTTACCTTAATTTGGGTCCCAAGCTTGCCAGTGTAGTTCTCTAAACTATTTTATATATATAAAATAGATAGATATGAAGATGTACATACAAATATGTTCAAACACAGTAAATACAGAGACAAATTCTAGCAGGCAAAACACACACCTAGGATATGATTTTCCTTCTAGAGATACCTGTTCTCTCTTATTACAAAGAGAACTTAAAAATCCTTAGCAGTTGTCATATGTTACAAATGCGGCCAAATGAGTTGCTTAATCGAACACCCAGCAGAAGATAGCCAAAAAATTAAAGCTTATTCAGCTTAATTTCAATCCTAGAGAACAAAGTAAGTAGAGATTAAAAAAAAAAAAAAAAAATCACAAATCCCAAATCCAACCACCAAAAGAAAAAAAAACCCAAAAGCAGCAACTGCCACAATGGACGTGAAGAAGAAGTAATTGAACAACTATAAACAAATGAAGTGCAATAAAATTGTGGTAGTTCACAGATTAATGGAACCATAATCAACTAACCTTCACACTGTAAAGCAGTATCAGGAAATAAAGTGAATGTGGTTTTTCTCACCTGTTTGCCCCAGCAGACTGAGCTTAATGTGAGTGTCACTAATGACACCAATCACCCTTATCACGCTGTTAGTTACTTCAGTAGTTGCTTGATAATTTGAAGTATAGAATATAGCATTTGAACACACAACAAAACAGGGACAGAAAGGTTTCATTATTCACATGCTAAGGTTAGACTAGAACATATTTAGACATTTTGAGGTAAGAAGAATTACAAATACATTTAACTGACTTGAGCTGTCCTGCATCTGGAAGGACTGGTCCTGAGACCAAGGCACCACACTGTGGTACAGACCAGACTAGTCAGTTCAACTGTTCTGATATCCAAACTGCAAGATGACATACTCCAGATTATAAACAGTTTGCTTTATTTTAGCTACTTCATATGCAACAGATTGCCCTGTCAACACTACAGGAAACCCAACATGAGGAGAAATAAATATTGTAAGGGAGGACAGTGGGAATATAATCTACAGCGATAAAATCCACTCACCTGCCATTTTTTTTGATGTAGGTTGCTAAATAACCATGGTCTTCCCAGTTATGAACTGTTTCTGTCATTCCCTGCTCCTGAAAAATGGGCTGTAGAGCTTTAAGAACGGCATTGCAATCAGCTGCAAGATTAAGAGAGAAATAATAATCAGTAAGGATTTTCCACTCAAGTCACTTCTGCCTTCCTTGAAAGGCTGAGCAGTTTTTTCTGGTAGCCTGGATTAATATCTGAGCACCATTGGAACAACATCCTTCATGTATCTTCTCTCTCCATCCCCAGAGATGTTTCTCATTGCATGGGGATCCAAACAGTTTTCTTTTAAATTCAGTTTTCACACCTAAGCAGAAGTGGTTATCTGCTATGGATATAGTAATAGTACTTTCTTTATGACTACTGTTGGTCACCTTCTGTATCACAATTCAGACAAGTCCTTACTCATATAATTACTTTTAAAATCATTTAAAACACAAACAATAATCCCAAAAAGAAACCACAGCACTGACGTGAAAGTTTGAAAAAAATGCTGAGCTGTAGGACAGGGAAACTACAAAGGCATTGAAAACTAGAGAGGGCAAACCAATCTATTCCCTATATCCCTACAGAAACATCCATTTTTAACATCCAGGTCAGAGATGGTCTCCAGTTGAAATCTTCCTGATGCTACGCAAGAGATCTCTCAGAAAAGCACACAAAAACCCATTTGGAAATAACTGAGGTTACTCTGGCAATTATCTTCAAAAGTAAGCTCATGATCTGTCTATAAAGACATTTCTTCAGTCAGAACATAATGATTTCAGAAGCCTCAAGTTTGCTGTACACAGTTTTGTGGGTTTTTTTTACCCACAACATTGTTCATTATAACTACTTTAGATTCTCCAAACAAGTGTCTCAAAAACAAATTGCAAGTTTTGCCTATTTACTTCAGAATCAACAAGGTGAGAGGTCATGGAGGATGCTGGTAAGGCTGCACTTACCAGAAGAGGAACAAAACTGGAAGGACTGTCATGCCAGTGAAGAGACCTAACAAAGTAATTATCTACAGGCTGTCCTAGTGAGGCAACTATCATAATTTTTGCTTCACAAACACAGATCTAAACCACTATGGTCATGTAATATGTCAGTAATGCAACCAGGATTTAGAGTCACTCTATCAGAGAAACCACCTGGCACAGCCACATTATGGAGGCACAGCTTATAGCCCAATGTTTCAGCACAGATATTCTTCCCCATCACAACTTTACTAAAGAGTTATTCCCAAGGTAATTATTTTGTTTTAATCTCTGCCTCCAAAATGCAGGGAATACATTGGAAACTAGTAAGTGTAGCCTGCAGACATAATCAGCAAGTTTCCAGGATGCTATTGAGTTGTACCAGCTACAAAGAAACAAAAAAGCCCACACCAAATAAATCCAAATTTAGCTCATCTATCATCTCTGTGAAACTCCACAGTAGACTAAGCTAAAAATCTGATTACTTGAAAATTATGTTTGCCCATCTGTAAACGCTGGACTCAATTACCCCTGGACATTTTAACCAGACAGACTGAAGTAACAGATAGTGTTTACTTTAATCTTCCTCAAACAAAGTCAAGACCAAACCAATTCCTCAACAGTCAAGGATATTTAATAAAAATGGAAAGGTTTTGCTTCTCATTGCCCAAACTATCTGATCTTGATGCATGTTTTAAGATACATACTTACTTTTCAACTTTTGTTCCTCACTCATTAATTCCCCATGTGGCAAATTAAGGGAAAACAGAACCAATAGAAGAACTAAATTCTGTAAATGATTTAACTGCTGGCCCCTTCTCAGTCTCACCACTGATAAAACACCACACAGAGTCCACCACCACTATGAAGATTTTTACTCCCCCCCCTTCCTGTAAAAGTCTGCATCATTTGTACCAGTAAGTTTTCAGGCTTCCAATCTAGCATCAGGTACTACCATGGTACAGGCAATAATTAAGGCTCAGAAGACATAGCTTGTCTGCCCAATAGCTGTGGTTACAGTGGGCCAACAATCAAGTCAACATTGTTTTCAGACATCAAAAGCATAGATGAAGTGGGGCCATAATTAAAAGCCACAGTTCTTAAACTGATTCTAATCTCTGCAGCTTTGCACTGGGACAGGAACTTTGCAATGCACACTTTAAACCTGCAGTTTCTGGCAGGCATCAGCACTCATTCTGGAGAGGACAGGAGCAGCTGCTCCAAGCCAATACACTCACAAAGAACTTGTCACTTCAGACGTGGTTCACTCTTTCTGCCTCACATTTGTTTCCTTGCCCCACTCCTTTGTCTTCTCCCTCAACTTTTCCAAGACATATACTCATTTCTGTCCCTTCCTTACTTCTTAAGTCACCACCATAACAATGTTAAACAGGAACTCAGTTTAATAATGCATACAATACCCTTCCAGGGCAGTAAAATAGCATGAAATCCAAGATGAACTAGTATGCAACCGAGCCCCAGAACATCTCACTTCCACAGCTCCTGCAAGACATAGTAAGATGGAGAACAGAGTGGAAGAACTGAAGTGCTCATGCCACATTTAGCCTGTTTTCAACAGCTTCAAGTATTCCTGTGACGTGTATCCTGGCAGATGCTGCAGGACAAACATCACTGATATTTTTCTGATTCATGAACACACCAATCCCTCACAACCTGCTCATCACTCAGCAGCAGATTTCTTTGCTAAGCACCCAGGCACAAGCTTGATTAAGGCCTTCCTATTATGCTATTAACTTTAGGAAATTAAAACAACATGCTCTTTCATCAGTTCTCTTTTTAGTTATACCACACAAGATTTGCCTTGGAGGGATAATTAATTCTCCCAAGTTGGAAACTCCTTTATAAAATGTCCGAGGCACAAGTGGTTGCTCGAAGGCATCAGGAAGTTTCAGCAATCTCAGGATCTCTCACCCAAATCCACTTACCACTGCCTCACTCCCAGCTCAGATATGCTTGATCAAGCATTCATAAGCAAAAAGGACAATGATGACTAGAACAATAGGAACACCTTTGAATCTACATCAAAATGTTTATTCAAGTAGTTACTACTTTTTCTTCTATTCGAGAACAAAGGAAACAGACTCCAGTTACCAAGAATGAAATACTGTTTTAAGTATTTGGTAGAAGAAATGGCAAATGCCTGGAGTTTCAACTGTAGAGAACAGAAAGAAAAAACCACTGTATAAGATTTGAGATATACATATTTTTCAGGAGTATTATCACCCAGTTTAGCCAGAAAGTTTTTGAATCCCAGCACACGTAAGAGATGATTCGCAGAGGTTGCAAACACTCCTGTGACATCTGAGCAGCAAAACAGCCATTACCTGAGAGTAATCTGTGAACATGAGAGCTTTCAAAGTTCAGTTACTGTAAGCATCCAGGCCCGCCTCATGCAAAACACCAGCTAGTTTCACCCAGATACTCCAACAAGGAGCTCAAGTAATCTGCTATTGAGCCAGACTATTCTGGTTGGAGACATCCTCATACCAGATATTGACAAAAATCTTAGTAAGCAGTGGGAGCAGATTAGCTCTCATTTGAAAATATTCACACTATTTCCAACTCCAAATTTTTCTTACCCTGATTTTACATAATTTCCTTTAACAAGTGAGAATGTAACATAACCAAAATAATAGGACACATCAAAGCACTTATATATGCTTCTGCATTTGATGCATTTTTCCCTTGGTAGCTACATTTTCAATAGAGAAAGGTGAAGAAAACGAAAATCAAATTAAATGTTTCATTAAGAATAAGTTAAGGAGTTAGCACACATTAGGAGATAAAATGCAGAATATGATAATAGCAAACAGCAACCTGAATGGCTGCTATATTGTTTCAGTATAATAAATTGCTGCGTAATGCAAGTCTGATATTCTTGCACACAGGCAAGTCCAATTCTCAAAAAATATCACAGGAAAAGGAAATACACAGAGACCGGGGGGAGGTGTCAGGTACAAATGACGAAGGGAGCACACCTGAGAGAGATTAATTTCTAAGCAGGTGAGGTCCCAGGGGCAGTTCAAGAAGAGCAGCAGGAGACTGTGCCTCCAGCCTGCTACAGCAGCACACCTGACTGCACTGGCACTGAGCCCATCAGAGTCAAGTTAGGCCACTCACAGTGCCTCCCTCCACCACCACTTACTGGAAATAGAGACACCAGGTTATAGGTGTACAGAGGATCTCACTCAAACTAATCCAAGGCATTTTTCCAATGCCAATATGGTATCTCAATCATAAAAAACCTGCAGAATCAGAGGTGTGCTGCAGAAATGTTTAGTGAACAAATTGTTCATAAATTTTAAAATCCAGAGTCAAAGAGAAGCTTCGGGCTCCTGTGCCTGTACTTTACATGCCCTAGCTTTCTTTTAGGCACTAAAACAAATTGAGAGCTAAAAGTCACAGTAGTTTATGGAAAGTCAACAGCCCCATCCCACAAGCTTCCCCTCTCCACCGTACATGAGAGGATAGAGCAATACATAAGAACTTGCAGATAACTGGTTATCATTTAGTCACCAACCACCTCCATAGCAATCTTTTTCTTAAAACTTCAGAACTGTACTCCTTTTGTCCTAGCTAAATGGATCTGTCTGCATGGAAAATGAGTGCACAGAGAACACTGCTGTTTGAAACAGACACTGGCTCAACTAAGGACTTGGAAAACCAACAGTTGCCTAAAGAGGTCCCTATCCTTCAAGAACAAAATAACCCCGCGCCTCACAAGAACCAAAGTACCCCCCCTTGGAGCACACTCCAAAGCCCCTGCTTTCATTACTGCCTAAAACAAAGCAGCAGCTTTTTCCTGACATATTAACACACATAAATGAAAAACAATTGGCCTTAGCAACAAACACCTCCCAGGTATTAAGTTCGAAAGTCTCCCATCAGAACCCAGACACACACACACAGGAAAAATCCTTTGTTTTGTCCTTGCCAGCTCTGCAAAAGCAGAAAACAGAAGGAAGCAGAAAACTATACTAAAATTATTCCTTTCAATCAATTTGCACCTGTGAGGATCATCCTCATTATACCCATTTATACACAGAAGTCAAAAAATCATCCATCAGGCGTAAAGGGGCAGGCATCAAGTGGAAACAGTCACCTACTATTC